CGGATTGCGATTTCCATTTGGTATTTTTTGTGGACGTTCGGGGTGAGCGGCACGTCGGAATTTGCGCGGATCGTGAATTCAATCTGGTTTTTGTTTGCGGACGTTCGGGGTCAGCGGCACGTCTGAAGTGGCGCGGATAGCGAAGTCCATTTGGTACCCCTTGTGGGCGTTCGGGAAGAGCGCCTACGCGACATGCGAATGTAATACTGGTGCACGTTATTGCCAACCTCTTTGATTTCACGTGCTTCCCGTTCATGTCAAGAAAGGTTGCTAAACATTGGCATTTCGTCCGAGACATCCTCCAAAAATGGAGATATTGAAATCGCTCGCCTAATTTTCGGATCCTCGAAAATGGGCGTGTCGCACGAGATCTCTTCGAACAAATGAGATGCCGAACGAGCTCTTGTAAGGCATCTGTTCGGAGCGATCTCGGATGACCTCCAAGATGGCCGAAGAAGCGAACGTAGTGAAACACCCACGGTGGTTTACCTGTTTTATTAAATAGTGACCGTTTCCTTCGAGACATCCTCCAAAAATTGCTTTCGGACGGGTCCTCGAAGGCGAAATTATTTTAAACATCAATTCGGTTTCAACAGTGTTGTTAAAAAGATAGCGTTACGCTCGGGACATCCTCCAACCATTGCCTTCTCCTCCTCGCCCCCACGCACGAGGAAGATGGCACATTCCGATAAGGAAGGTTGGATTGGACAAGAGGTCCCCAGGGCTATCCAAAATCCGATAAGGAAGGTTGGATTACATGCCCCGTGGGACCCTTGGAGCTTGATGGCGACCCACCCATGGTAACAGCTAACCACGCTACTTCGCGGTTAGAGGAATAACAAAGAAACACATGCCAAGACAGCGCGAACTCCAAGAAGGAAAACAGAGTAGGAGGAGGACACCTGATGGTATCCAAGACCCCCCCGAGGGCAATGTGCGTGGGATGTCTCAAGCGAAACGCTAGTGTTTTAACAAAAATTGTGAAAATCCATGGATTGTTCAACAATTTCGCCGTCTTCGGCCATCTTGGAGTTCATCTAAGATCAATTTGAAAAAAACTTGAAAACAACCCTTCATACACCCAATTGTTTAGAGAATGTCTCAGGCGAAACGGCCATTTCGTCTTCCGCCCCCTCCATTGATGCTGCTGCAGCTGCTGCTGCAGCTGCTGCTGCAGCTGCTGCTGCTCCTCCTCCTCCTCCTCCTCCCCCTCCTCCCCTGGTAGTCGTCTTCGCCGTCGTCCTCCTCACGCGGAAGAGTGCGGAGGATATTCAGGAATATGTTTGTGAATGTTCGGGGGGTGCGTGTCCATACGTATCCTGTGTGAGCTTTCGGAGAGTTCGCCTGTATTACATTCGATCGCGATGATGCTGCAAGTTCTTGCGCAACTCTTCCCTTTCACGCGCTTCCCGTTCATGTCAGGAAAGGTTCCTAACACGAGCGTTTCGCTCGAGACATCCTCGCCAACTCGTGAAGTTTGGGGCCGTATCGTAAGACGTCGTTTGCTAAAAATGGGTGTTTCGCCCGAGACATATTCCAAACATGGAGATCTTGAAATCGCCTAATGTTCGGATCCTCGAAAATCGGCGTTTCGCCAGAGACATCCTCGAGCACATGGGATGCAGACAGAGCTCTTAGAAGGCATCTTTTCGGAGCGATCTCGGATGAGCTCCAAGATGGCCCAAGAAGCGAAAGTAGTGCAAACCCAACGTGGTTCTAACACTTTCGTTTAAACATCAGCGTTTCGCTCGAGACATCCTCCAAATATTGCCTTCGGACGGGTCCTCGAAGGCGCAACTATTGAAAACCAATGGATGTTCAACAGTTCTGTTAAAATCAGAGAGTTTCGCTCGAGACATCCTCCAACAATTGCATTCTCCTCCTCCTCATCCTCCTGTTTGTCCTCCTCCTCCTCGTCCTCTTCCTCCTCCTGCTCCTCCTCCTCCCACGCACGAGGAAGATCCCAAATTCAGATGAGGAAGGTTGGATTGGACATCTCCTGGTCTTTCTGAGTTTTCCCGGGCTACCTAAAATCCGATAAGGGAGGTTGGATTACATGCCCCGTGGGCCCCCTGGGGCTTGATGGCGACCCCATCCTTTTTTACAAAATCTGATGCTGCTGCTGCTGCTGCTGCTGCTGTTGCTCCTCATCCTCCTCATCCTCCTCCTGTTCCCCCTCCTCCATTGGTAGTCGTCTTCGTCGTCGTCCTCCTCACGCGGAAGAGTGAGGAGGATCTTCAGGAATATGTTTGTGGACGTTCGGGGGGCGCGTGTCCATACGTATCCTTTGTGAGCGTTCGAAGAGTTCGCCTATATTACATTTGATCGCGATGATGCTGCAAGTTCTTGTGCAAAACTTCCCTTACACGCGCTTCCCGTTCATGTCAAGCAAGGTTACCACAGATAGGCGTTTCGCTCGAGACATCCTCACAACATCGTGAAGTTGGGGGTCGTATCTTAAGACGTCGTTTGCTAAAACTGGGCGTTTCGTCCGAGACATCCTCCAAACATGGAGATCTTGAAATCGTTCGCCTAATTTTTGGATCCTCGAAAATGGGCAATTCGCCAGAGACATCCTCGAACACATGGGATGCAGACAGAGCTCTTAGAAGGCATCTTTTCGGAGCGATCTCGGATGAGCTCCAAGATGGCCCAAGAAGCGAAAGTAGTGCAAACCCAACGTGTTTCTAACACTTTCGTTTAAACATCAGCGTTTCGCTCGAGACATCCTCCAAACATTGCCTTCGGACGGGTCCTCGAAGGCAAAATGATTGAAAAAACATGGGTTTTCAAACATTGTGTTAGAACCAGAGCGGTTCGCTCGACACATCCTCCAACATTTTTTTGAACTCGCGCGGACAGTGAACTCCACCTGGTATCTTTGTGGGCGTTCGGGGTAAGAGCGACGTCTAAACTCGCGCGGGTAGTGAACTCTACCTGGTACATGTTGTGGACGTTCGCGGTGAGCGGTGACTGAAGATGCGCGGATGGTGCATTCCATTTGGTATATTTTGTGGACGTTCGGGGTGAGCGGCACGTCGGAATTTGCGCGGATCGTGAACTCAATTTGGTTCTTTTTTGCGGACGTTCGGGGTCAGCGGTACGTCTGAATTTGCGCAGATAGCGAAGTCCACTTGGTACCCCTTGTGGACGTTCGGGCAGAGCGCCTACGCGACATGCGAATTTGATGTTGGTGCACGTTCTGGCCAAGCTCTTTGGTTCCACGCGCTTCCCGTTCATGTCAAGAAAGGTTTATAGAATTTCTGCGCGCGCACTTCCCCACCATCATCCTCATCAGCGCCATCCCATCACCGCCGTCATCATCGTTGCCAACAGCATCGGCGCCGTCATTGGCCTTGCCAGCGTCATCGTCATCATCGCCTCCAACATCGTAGTATCATCATCGTTGCCGCCGTTGTCGACGTCATCATGATATCGCGCCCGCCCGATTCACCGACACGCACTGAACTGCCCGCGCGCCAGAACGGCCCCTGAGACGCGTTGGGAAGTTCCCATCCGTAACCGCCATCGCTGCCGCATCAGCTGTGCCAAGCCAGTTGGCATGCTCTGCGCGCGAGCTTGCAGGCGCCAGCGCGGCAGCAAAGACGTGCCAGCCAATGCCAAGCCGTCACCGCAATCGCGGCCGCATGAGTTTTGCAAAATAAATTGTTGGTGGGAGGGAGGGACGTGTGTGCAAGCAAAGGAGTTGACAACTCACCAGTGGCTTCCGTCAGCACCCGCCACTGATGTTTTTTGGCATTCTCGGGCCTCCGCGGGGGCCTCCAGGCCCAGTCATCCAGCGCTCCGATCTGTTAGACACGTGGGCCGGGGATCACTCGATCCGTCCCCCATGCAGGGCCAGCCTCTCACGCCGAGTCGTTTTCGTGAATGCCCAGAGGCCCGAAACTGGCCCCCAGGGGCCAACCACGGCGACTCGAGGCGCTGGATTTCTGGAGTGGCTCCCGGGACCTCCAGGCCGTGAGGGCCCCAGCCCTCTCTCAGCGCCCAGCCTCCATGGGCCCCGCCGACCGCGAGAAAAGACAGCCCGGGGCGAGCAAAAGCTAGCCCGACGGGAGGGGGGTCGAGAGCCCCCAGGGCGTGGACGTGGGATGTTCGGGAGGCCTGGGGCGGCGAAGAGCTGGGCGAGGACTGGTAGGGCCTCGGGTTGCGCACCGACAGCACCTCCAGGTAGCCCCAGCTGGCCTCCACAGACCCCCCAGGGGGAGCGGTTCCGTTGCCAGGGGGGCTGTTTTGGGTGTCATCGCGAATAGAACAAATGCACCATACATGAATGTAGATATACATATACATCCGGAGAAAGAGAGAGAGTGAGAGAAAGAGAGATAGAGAGAGAGAGATAATGAGAGTTCAGATAGTATACGAATCCGATGCGCAAGAGCCGAAGAGATCTGAAGTACGATTGTACCACATCGCAGTGTGTACAACATGCTCGCCGCACTTATGTCACGCAAACCCCGGTCGTGCGTTTGAGGCTTCTCTGGGCCGAAGATTGCATTACGGTGCGTGGCAGGAGCCATGCTAGTGCGATATACCAGAGACCCCAGTTCAGGGGCATCGTTAGGGGGCATAGTCTCATGGGGGCTCGCATCGACCACCAACCGCCCATTTATCGCCAATAGGGGCCCGATACTCCACTCCGCCCGGGGGCGTGCGGATTTCATTATCGGGGGCCTATCGCCGATCTATCGGCGACGCATCGCCGAGTACAAGTCGATGTTTTCCTCTTGAGCCGGCCCCCCCCATAATTGTGGCCTCTCATATACGGGAAGCCCCAGTAGCATTACCCAGAGAGAGCCCATGCGAAAGACAGTTGGCACAGACAGTGTTTCCCATTTGCCAATTTGCGTCGAGGACAGGTTTCGCAATACACGCGCCCCCGACACGGGCGGGGGTCGGCCAATCCCAGGTCGCCCCAGCAAGTAGTTCCGAGGATTGTTTTGCGCATCGGTGCGTGCAGCTCTTGCATAGCATGTTGCCAGGTCTTCAGCAACGAGATATTCTTTTGGGAATGCCACGACGAGCCGTTGAGTGTCCGCCGAAGACGATGATGGACAGATGGTGAGTGTGTGAAGTGTTAACGCGAAACCAGCCTTCCCATATGGCAAGTTTTTCTTTGCCGCCCAGATGAAGAGTCTCATGACCAAAAATTGTCGGAGCTCCGCGCGGATGTCTTGGATCGGCGTTGGGACCCCCCTGGCGGGGCCTTCGGCGCCGGCCCTGCGCTCCGCGCGCCAGGGTACGCCAGCGCAGATCCAGCAAATGCGTTCGGATCTCCGCAAGTTCTTGTTTGTGCAGAATCGCTTCCTCATGGGTAATACTGTGGAGAAGTAGGGGCTTAGGCAGCAGAGTGGTCACGTGTCCTCCATGTGTGTGGGCTTCGCGTGGTGCAGAAAGAAGATCAAATGGGGATGTTAAGGGGACAGATGGTGCGAGAGAGAATATGTTCCTTGTGCCTTTGCGGACACATCTCAATCGACCCCCACAGTCGAGACGTCGCAATACGGCACTTTGTCGGTGTGGGATGTGCTCAGCGATCCTTGTTTTGGCGGGTGGGCAGCAGAACATCTGAATGAAGCTTTGTGGAGGTTGGCAGCATTTCTTGTTCCGAGGTTCCTATAGTTGGATAGGGGCCTTCTCTTATGAGCCCCTCCAGGATATGAGAATCCACCTTGGACAGACATAACTGCCGTTTTTTACCCGTAAGCTTGGTATTTGGGTCACAGCCGCAGAGGTCGGACGTGACCACGTTTCGCGAATCGTGACTTGGGCAGCCGAACGTCCGAACTCCTGGTGGGCGAACGAAAGAGTGGACGTGATCACTACTCGCGCTTCGCGCGGCAGGAAACGCGAAATTAGCTGACCCAGCCTACAGCACGATTCTGATTTGAGCCCGAGACTGCGAGTTTGCCGTGCGGCTCGCGAGCGCACGGGATTTGTTTTAGAACACTTTTGATCGGAGAGAGTCATCATCCTCATCATCAGCACCTCTCTACCATCATCAGCATCACCATCATCATTGTTAGAACAGATTGGATCGGAGAGACTCATCATCATCACCACAACCATCGTCATCATCATCACCATCATCACCATCATATGAATCCTAAGTGGCCTCCCCCGCCCCCGGCCTTTAATAGTCGTCCTCCTCATGGTGGTTCCTTTTCCTCCTTCTCCTCATCCTTGGTGGCCCCTTCTCTTCCTCGTCCTGCTCTTTGGTGGCATCATCTCCCCCCTCTCCACCCTCTCTTGTGGCCCCAACGCAGCCCCAGTCAACGTGTGAACCTTCTCCTCTTACATTGCTCCGCGCGCCGTTGCGGAATACCTTCCGAAGCCTTAGCGGCCATAGCAAACACGCAGGGATGGGTAGTAGAAGGGGGAGTGCCAGGATCGGCGGCGAGCCCGGGGGGGAAGTGAGAATGGGCGTTGCTTGTCAGAAAGTTCGGACGTCCCCAGTGCACAGCCCTCCCCGAAGACGCAGAACATTTCTCATGAGGGTGGAGGTTTTCTGATAAGTCTCGCCGCCTCCTGAGAAGGCCTTCTCCTTCTCGCTTCCCCCCCCCTTCGCTCGCCGCTGACGGGAGAAGGAGAAAGACGAGGTGGAGGGAAAGGATTGAGGAGGGAAGACGAGGCGCAGAAGGTGGAGTGCGCGAGGCGCGAAGCTTTGCGCCTCCTCCCTGAGTCTGCTTCGGCCCAGCCCGCCGATTGGACCAGGGGCGCGTTCCTTGCCCGAGCCCAAACCAATGCAAACAATCGAACCGCCGCCGTCGAATTTTTCTGACCTGGTCTTGAGGACTGCGTGTTCCGAGATCTCTGCCGAGTTTGTTGATGTGGATGTTGTTGATGTGGCCATTGCTGCTGATGCGGTTGCTGCTGATGTTGCTGCATGTGTATTTAGGGTCGACGTTGGAGTAATTCTGGTCAGGGCGTACCCAGGGACAAGCCTGGGGGTCGACTCGTCAGGAGGGGGATCCAGACGCCTCCGGGCGCGGCGAGCACGCCACGGCGGGCGGCTTGCTCGCAGCCCTTGTCTGAGCCAGCCACGAGCGAAACAAAGACGCACGCGCACACGAAGCAAGTGTTGCCAGAGGTCCCCGAGATCCCGTCGTCGTTGCAGATTTTTCGCAGTGGGCGTTTCCGGGGGCCATCACGGGTCGAACCGGCTCGAAAAATGCTGCAGAAAGATAGGGTTTTGGGTTCCAGCCGTGATGTGTCGCGATATTGCATTTTGTCGCAACGTCGGATCTCAGGGATGTCCCTGGCCAAGGGTGCCTCCGCGGTTTTCAGGGAGGCCCTCTTTCTCTCCTTCTTTGGTCGGATTTGAGCTGTGCCCACTTTTGCTAGTTTTTTCTCAGTACGTTCTGCTCGTCTTGACCACAAGTTGCTGTCGGAGGACAAGGAAGAGAGGAGGAGGCGGAGGTTGCAGGAGGAAGAGGTTGATGGGGAAGGAGGGGGAGGAGGAGAATGCGAAAGAGATGGAGT